TCGTACACGTCCTGCTGTCCTCGTACACGTCCTGCTGTCCTCGTACACGTCCTGCTGTCCTCGTACACGTCCTGCTGTCCTCGACACTCTTTTCACCTCTACTACATTCTTTACCAACTCCTCCTTCAGGTCCACCTCTACTCCATGTCTCTTTCTATCCACACCATGGTAAAACAGTTTGAACCTGCTTCAATGCTGCGATCCTTGCTGCTCTTCACTTGGTCTCTTGGACACATAAAACATCTACCTTCCTTCTCAGCATCATGTCAGCCAGCTCTCTACCTTTGCCTGTCATTGTCCCCACATTTAGAGTGTCCACCCTCAGTCCTACATTCTTCACTTTCCTCCTCTCCTCTGTCTCCTGACACGTTTCCATCATCGTGGTCTTCCACTAACAGTAGCACAATTTCCACCAGCACCTGTTCGTCAGCAGCACCGGTGGCGGTCGTTGTTAACCCGGGCCTCGACCGATCCGGTAGAGTTTCCCTTTGATGAACTCGCATTATGGTTTTGGCAAAAGTGTTTTAGGTTGGATGTCCTTCCTGACACAACCCTCACCATTTACCCGGGCTTTGGACCAGAACCAGAGATGCACTGGTGCTCCCTGGTGGCTGCTTTGGTTCCAGTGTTCTCATAAAATAAAAGTCAATATGAAATAAGTTTTATGTTTTTATTGTGCAGATTTGAAGTCGCTGCCTGCTTTGTTGTCTTTAATAAATGAAACAGGCGGTGACGAGCTGCACGGTGCTCAGGGCGAGGGAGAGACTTCACAGGAAACAGAACCTGGTCCAGACTCCCCCTCCAAGCAGCTCCCAGATCAGATCTCCTTCTTCAGCGGGAACCCCTCGGTGGAGATCGTTCATGGCATCATGCACCTGTACAAGACCAAGTACGTCACGTGGAAGCGTATCGCTCGCTGCCCTGAGAGCGTGTGTGTCCGTGCTCATCTTTTCTGTTGTCCTTCAGTAAAATGACTTCCCTGACTGAAGATGTGAGGCGCAGCGCCATGGTGTGCATCCTGACCGTCCCCGCCACCATGACGAGCCACGACCTCATGAAGCTCATGGCGCCGTTCAATGATGTCATGGAGCATATGAAGATTATACGTGACTCCACCCCCAACCAGTACATGGTGCTGATCAAGTTCTCCTCCCAGGTGAGTTCTGTGCACACGTTCACCAAACTAAGCTGGAGGGATGCGCTGCAGCTGCTCGCTCTCTAAATCTAGTTTGTGGAATGTTTTAGCAATTTAAGGGCGGCACGGTTTGTAGAGCTGCCGCTTCTCAGTGAGAAGGCCACTGGTTCAAATCCCGGCTGGGGGCCTCTCTGGGTGGCGTGGGCACGTCCTGTCCGTGCGGCGTGGGTTTCCTCCCACAGACCAAAAACATGCATGTTAGACTGATGGTGACTCTAAAATGTCCAAGGTGAGAGAGAGTGAATGTTTGAAGGAAGGCAGGCTGCTCCTCCTGAACCCAGTTCTTCTGGGCCTTTCTTCCTGTTCAAATGAAGTGAACATCTCAGCCGTCAATCATCTCAACATGGCTGCCGTTTGTTTTTCAGAGCGACGCAGACAGTTTTTACACGGCTTGTAATGGACGCCAGTTCAACTCCATCGAGGAGGCGGTGTGCCAGCTGGTCTATGTGGAGCGAGCGGAGGTCATAAAGTCTGAGCAGGTAAATGAATCCAGTTCTTTATGGACCAGGTTCTGAAGGTGAGGCCTTCACCAACAGGTTTAAAGATCCAAACACCCGACCATAAGATCATCACAGCAAACTGAGACCTCGTGTTTGAAACGGTGGCCATCTTTCATACTCAGCGTTGGCTAATGGACAAAACTGGCACAGTGCACGAGCACAAACGTATTCAGATCATAACACTGTCTGCACGCACGTTTCGGCTCGTCTTTCTGTCATCCATTCCAACATGTGGAATAAAGTGCAGCTGCTGCTTCAGCCACCGTGACCCCCCATGAATGAATAAACAAGGTGATATAAATATCATCCTTCTTCTTTCGGCTTTTCCCTCTTCAGGGGTCTCCACAGCGAGTCCTCCTCCATCTCTCTCTGTCCTCACTCTGTCCTCTGTCTCCTCTGTCCTCATGCCAACTACCTCCATGTCCTCTAACTGCATCCATAGGTCTCCTTTTTGTCTTTTTTTCTGGCAGCTGCATTTCTAACATCCGTCTACAAATATACCCACTGTCCCTCCTCTGGACATGTCCAAACTACTGTCCCTCCTCTGGACATGTCCAAACCATCTCAGTGTGTCCTCTCTAATTTTATCTCCCAGTTGTTCAACCTGTGCTGTACCTCTGATGATCTCATTCCTGATCTTCTCCATCCTTGTCTCTCCTAAGAAGAACCTCAACATCTTCTGTCTCCTGTCTTTTTGTCCATGTCTCTGTCTCCAGACCATACAACAGAGCTGGTCTCACCACTGTCTTGTAAACTTTTCCTTTGATCTTTGCTGACACCCTTTTGTCTCAAATCACTCCTGAAACTTTTCTCCATCACTCCATCCTGCCTGGACTCTCTTCTTCACCTCTTTACCACACTCCCCATGTTCCTGGACAGTGGACCCAGAGTCCTTGTAGCCTCATTGTTCCACCTGCTGTCCTGATCATGAACACCTCTACATGTGGCCACGGCAGGGAATCGAACATGTGACTTTTTGGTCCCAGGATGACTGCTCCATAGTTGCCCCCAATAATTCAGGGATCATTCTTCCTCCCAAGTCTTTATCAGAGATGTCCTTCAGCAGGTGCCATTGTTCCACAACTTAATGCAGCTCTTTGTCTGCACGTTGTCCACCTGAGCGTCCTGTGCATCTTCTCAGGTGCACGTTTTCATCTACACATGACAAGAACATGAGAAACTTTAAAGTTTACGTTGACTCAACTTATTATTTCTGGTACTGTCCTGTACGGTTCTTGGTCCCTCAGGTGTCTGATCAGCCTCTTCCCCTCCAAAGATCCTGTTTCTGTAACTCTTGTGTTTTAGGGAGCCAGTCTGCCGGTGATGGAGCTCACGGAGCTGCCGAAGTGCACCGTGTGCCTGGAGAGGATGGACGAGTCCGTTAACGGCATCCTCACCACTCTGTGCAACCACAGCTTCCACAGCCAGTGTCTGCAGCGGTGGGAGGACGCCTCGTAAGTTCTGCCCGAACCACCAGTACCGGTACTCTGAAGCTGCTCTGCAGATGTTTTCTGAGAAAACATCAGTTCAGTTTGTTTCTGCTCCGAGTCGACAGGAGTCGTCTCAGGACACTGAACAGAAACATTCACAAACTTTATAAAAACATTTAAAGTTCTCCCTCAGGAAGCAGCAGATTGAGTTGAATCTTCTCTTCATCAGTCTCATCCTGAGCAAGAACAGAGGAGACAGTGGGAAGAAAGAACTCCCTGTAACAAGAAGAAACCTCCAACACAACCAGCTCAGGACGAACATCTGCTTTCTATAGTCCAGGCATACTTTCTATAATCCAGGTGTACTTTCTATTGTCCAGGTGTACTTTCTATAGTCCAGGTGTACTTTCTATAGTCCAGG